TTGAAAAATATTATTCAAACTGGCCCATAGGAAAAAATTGTAATTAATAATAACTATTACAATTGTTTCTCCTAGACAGCGATATTGAAATTAAATTGACAATAAATAAATACTTTTTCTGAAGTGTCCTGCTTTTCCGATTTAGAGATCTAAACTGTGCTCAGATTTGCCAAAATATACTAAAATCAATATGATTTCAATATAAACTCCCATCAATATCTTTCAAGACCAATTACATTTTTACAACACTGTACTCTGAATTACACTGCAAAAAAAAATGTTTTCAAAGTTGTAATTATGGAGTTTCTTTTACAATAAAATACTATTTCAGTCTTTCTACTTCAAAATGTCATATTTAATTCAATGTTGTATTACCTGCTATTTCTTGTGAAATTTACTATCAATTTCCAAGTGAAAATTGTAAACCCTACACCATTTTTTTAGTGCATTTGTTTCTGTTTTTATTTCATTTAAGGTATTTTAGGAAACATCTGAAACAAAGTTGATATTGAAGAAAAACTCAACAGAGACCTCCCCTAAGTCTCCTGAGCAACTGGTTATCCTCTGGTTAACCTGGTTATCTTCTACTAGTTCCTGTACGTGAGGCTGTGAGAGAAAACCTCACTTAATGAACACAGACGTGTGGGACGCATGTATTAACACAGTTAAGTGTGGAAAAGGTGGCATGGAAGAGTGGCCGCCTGACTCTGACGTGCATGACTGCTGCCGGCTCGACAGAGGGCTGCTCTCAAGGTCAAAGACTAACAGCAGAATGCATGCAAACCTGGGCAGGGGATTTTACAAATCTCCCAACAGGTACAACATCATAATGTTCTTGAGCTTTCATAGAAGCAGAGCAAAGACCGGCTTTGCTTATTTGCACATTAGAGCGGCGGTGCTCTTGTTCAGTGGGACAGTTGTTGCACCTGATCTCAAACCCTGATTAGATTGTGAATACAGAGCCTGACTGATCCTGAAAGAACATCAGCGCTCCAGATGTAAAAATCTCATTCATTTTCTCAGTTGAGACAATTGATTTTAAACAATAAACCTATTAAAACCATGAGCTCTGGGATCATTTAGTGATAGTATCTACATCTGTACAAGCCAAAATTCAATATTCAATGCGATTTCAACTTAAAAAACTCTCTCTCTCGCTCTCTCTCTCTCTCTCTCTCTCTCATTGCCGTTCAAAGGTTTGGGATCAGTAAGACTTGTAATGTTTTTTAAAGAAGTCTCTTCTGCTCATCAAGGCTCAACAATTTCGAATGTTTTCACAGGAGTTCCTTATGCTTATCAAGGCTGCATTTATTTGATCAAAAATACAGGAAAAAATGTAATATTGTGAAATATTATTATGATGTAAAATAATGTTTTTCTATTTTAATATACATTAAAATCTAATTTATTTCTGTGATCAAAGCTGAATTTTCTGATACTTTTTTTCAGGATTCTTTGATGAATAAAAAGTTAAAAAGAAAAGCATTTATTTCAAATAGAAATCTTTTCTAACAACATACACTACAGTTCAAAAGTTTGGGGTCAGTAAATTTTAATTCTTTCTTTTTTAGAAAGAAATGAAAAATTGTATTCAGCAAGGATGTGTTAAAGTGTTAAGAAGTGATAGCAAAGATATATATTGTTAGAAAAGATTTATATTTTGAATAAATGCTGTTCTTTTTAACTTTCTATTCATCAAAGAATCCTGA